TCACAAGTTCAAGGCCAGCCTCAGCCATTTAGCAAGACACTGCCTCCAAATTAAAAATAAAAAGGACTTGGAATGGTAGAGCATCATGGATTCCATCTCTAGCACCAAATGAACAAACCAGCCCAGGGTACTGCCACTGTGATGTCACCTGGGCTTCTAGCAAGGGAGTCCAAGATGCCTTGTACAAGAAAGGCTGGGATGCATGGTCTGACCACAGAGTGGGCCCTGGGATCCTTGGGAACCTCCAGCCTACCCCAGTGCCTGCACTCAGGAATGCAGAATAAAGACCATCTTGCAGAGGGGACCTGTGGGTGGGCTCGTGCCTGTGCTCCGAGGAAGAGAGGATTAGTGAACCCAAATGGTCAGCTCGGGTAGAATTTAAAAGGCAGAAACCTCTCTGTAACCACAGCTCTGGGGAGCTCTGAAGCCCACAGGGCCCAGAGAGAAGTGGCAGATAAGATCAGCAGCAGCTTGTAGCCACTTTCCGTAGAAGGCTTGGAGCTACCAAGGGCAGAAACTCCACAGGTCATTCTGGGATGAAACCATCGGGGACAACATGAAGGGTCAGACCAGGGACGAGGAATGTTTTCAATTATGATTCATGCACTCATTAAAACAGTTCATACAAGGGGGGTGTTTAAACACAGCAACCTAATTTTAAGTTTGATAGGTGAATGGAATGTGGAGAGGGAGACAGGGAGTTTGGAAAAGCAAATAATAATAATAATAATAATGTATAAAACTCTACTCTTTTCATTAAGAAAATGGATTGTTAAACTAATTAATTTTTTTTTAAGAATAGTATTTTGAACACAGAGATCATAACACAGAGACACGGATATGTGTAGATGGGAGGGTGAGGGGCACCTGTCAGCTGGCCACTTCAGCAAAGTTCTGATTAAGCCACACTTCTGTCTGTACCTGCCCAGGGTCCCATTTAGACAATGGGTTTGTCCCCTTCTGGGGCTCTGCTTGGTTTCTGCTCTATAAGAACTGAAGTGCTCTCTAGCCTGCTGAAACTGCTAGAATACTAAAATTTTCTTTCACAAGCTAAATGGCATTTAAAATAAATACTGTGAATTGATGGAATGACCAGTTATGTTAAGTACCCCCTGCCTGGTATAATCCAAACCACACCTTACCCCATTATCCTCAACACTGAGAGGTGATTCAGCAGCCCCTCTCGCCAGGGATTCTGAACCAAAACACAAGACACGGCACCCAACAAGGACCTGGAGTACTTCCAGTTAATTCTTGCAATTGGTTTTGTGCTGGAAAAAATAAATGTACTAGGTTTCCACAGCTCATAAACCAAACAACCACTAGACCACACGAGCTGGTTCCCCATTGCAACTATGATGTCAGTCTGGTTTCAACGTCATTTTAGGTTTTCACTTCCATTTCTTCCCCTTGGGGCACCACATCACAGACGGTCCCCAACCGATGGTCTTTCAGCCATATGGTGTGCAAAAGCCAGATGCATTCAGTAGAACCGTCCTTTGAATTTTGATCTTGTCCTGAACTAGCAATACCAGGTCCGGTTCTCTCCTCTGATGCTGGATGGTGACAATGAACTGCAGTTCCCAGTCATCCCCAGGATCATGAGGGGCACCACCAACTCTCTACAGTATGCCTGTTAGATCCATTCTCGTCCTATGACATCTTTGGCTCACCAAGAACTCATCTGGCTGGGCCCCATCGTAAGTCAAGGAGCCCCTGACAATATCAGCCGAGGTGTCTATGGAGCACTCAAGTTCTGCACCTCCTCCAAGTCCCCACCACGGTGATGCCACGTGCCCTATGATTTTCCCTCCCTGGCAATGCTATTTCTGCTACTTCTACACAAGCACATCTCTGATTTTCAAGGTCTTGCTCAAGTGTCAATTCTCCCCAAGAAGTGACAGTCCTTCTGATCCCATCCTCCTGGCAAAAACCAGGCTCCCTCTCCTACACAACGTGGCACATCTGCTTGTGTTCACAGCCTGCATCTGTACCCTCTCAACCTCTGGGATGACTGTACAGAGGAGATTCATTCCCACCGTTCTTTGGGGATGGATGTTCTGGTCCTGTTGGGCCTCAATGCTAATCTCTGTGCCTGGACACCCTACTAACGAAGTTCTTTCCTAGTCTAATATCTTAACAAAACAAAACAACCCCCTCCAAAAAAAACTCACCCCACTACTTCTTTGTGGGTAAAGGGAGATTTGTGAGCATGACAATAAGAAAGTGGGCATAGACCGCTGGGTATGGGGGCACAGGTCTATAATCCCCGAGGCTCAGGAGGCTTATAGACAGAAGGATTGCAAATTGGAGACCAGTCGCAGCAAACTTAGTGAGACTCTGTTTCAAAATAAAAAAAAAAAAATTTTTTTAATAAGGACTGGAGATGTGGCTCAGGGGTTAAGTGCTCCTGAGCTCAAGCCCTGGGACCAGTAAATAAATAAACATAAATAAGAAAAATTAAAGTGGGCATAAATCAGATATCCTTTCTTCTACATGATTCTAATCTAAACCTTCCATTGTTGTTTCCTCCATTGTTTCTTCTTTATACACCCATACATTTATTTGTAAAAGTTCTGCTGCTGGGCATTACTTCTGGCTGCCCTGCACCACTCACGAAAGGCACCTGAAAACATTAATTAGGATGAGAAACATTCAAAATAAAACATACAATAAAAGTATCTCAAGAATGTGAGACAGAGCCAGGAACAGAGGCCCACATCTGTAATCCCAGCTACTCAGGAGGCTGGGGTAGGAGGATTGTAAATTTGAGGCCAGCCTGGGCAACTCAGCAAGACTCTGCCTGAAAATAAAATTTAAAAAGGATCAGAGGTATACCCCAGTGGTGGAGCTCCAGGGTCCAACCCCAGTAGCACCCCGCTACTGGCCCCACTCTAAAAAACACACTTTAAACAGAATGAAATAAACAGAAAAAAACTCATGTTAACAAGTCTCCACCTACATGACCAAACTCTCACCAAGAATCTCTTTGTTTTCAAATGTACAAAAAGCCCTATAAAGGCCGTACCTGATTGGATGCAGATCCAACAAGCATTTGCCATATGTACTAGCTTAATTCCCAGCATATAGAGCAATCAAGGAATTTTTTAAATCATGACCTCTCATCCACAAGAGAGAAACTCCCACAGCAATCACTCAGCATCAGAGACTTTATTGGTGCTTCTCTCGTGTTTTTGCCCCACAGAAACAAAGAACAATTGACATGCACACAGCAAATCTTAACTATGTGGATTTGAAATCCTATAAGAAAAGGCTCTAAGAAAATAAAAGCACTTTTTTTTTTTTAAAAATCCAACCATTAATGATATTCATATATTACCTATGGTTCTAGAGGAAAAAGGAAGATGCATAACTTTGAAATCCACTTGAGAAAAACCCAAAGAACGTCTATCATCAGGGGCTAGGGATATGGCTCAGTTGGTAGAGTGCTTGCCTAGAGCAAGTCCCTGGGTTCAATCCCCAGCATTAAAAAAAAAAAAAAAAAAAAAAAATCTGCTTCTAATGGTACAATCTGAAGGAAGAACAGAATAGTTTTTTTAAAAAAAAACTACTCATTTTTGAGAGTGGAGGCAATTCCTTTTATTTTCTTAGATATTTAGGATATCTATGACAACTACTAAAATTAGAGTTAACCAAACATACCTGCCTAAATTGCACCTGAACGGAGCCAAGTGCAAAGAAATCCTTAAGTTCTTGATTTTACAGACCTTGAGAAAGACAGAATGCTATGGCACAGTCCATGAACAACCAAATGTGATGTGATCTCTCACAATTGTTTGAGCTACTCCAGAAATCTGAAGATAAATGCCTCTTCTCTTAACCACATGGATATTCTACCCCTTCACACAGGTGGTTGGCCTGGGCATGTACTTCTAAAGGATGGAGACTAACCAGCTCTAGACCAATCAAAAGGCAGTCACACCCTCACCGTGAGCCAGCACGGTTCTGAAGAGCTTGGTACAATCCAGTGCATCTGCCTTGGGCAGCTGTGCTCCCATGACTTCTGCCAGTCAGCAGAGGCTCAGGGGGACAGAAAACTAGAAGTCGCTTGGAGGCTGTTTCTTCTACAGAGCAGATATCCAAAACAAAGTAATATCTCAAAGTATTTGTAATCCATCATTTTTGCTATTTTTAACCATTTGTTCATCTTTAATCTTACCCATTTCAAAAGTAAATGTTGTGGCTCAGTGGTAGAGAGCTCGCCTGACACGTCTGGGGCACTGGATTCGATCCTCAGCACCATATATAAATACATCATTAAAATAAAGGTATTGTGTTCATCTACAACTAAGAAAAAAATTTTTTAAAAAAGTAAATATAGTCGGACACCATGGCACATGTATGTACTACCAACGACTTAGGAGGCTGAGGCAGGAAGATCACTTAAGGTCAGGAATTGGAGGCCAGCCTAGGCAGCACAGAGATGAAAGGCACTTTGAAATCCTTAAGAACACTGGGCAAGAGCTAGTCCAGGGCAGCAGAGAATGGGCAAATATCGGCAAGTGTGTCCCTAGCAAATGACGCTGTGGGGACAGGTTTGGGCGGGGCTCTACTCTGAGCCTCAGCACAAACAACAGCCTTCCAGGCCCACATGGACATCAGGGGACAGCAAGGAATGAGTGCACCTCCACGAGGCCAAGGGTCAGAACAGCGGAACCATTCCTTGTCAGCCCAGGGGCTCGCTCTCCTCAGCCCCGTGTGCATACCATTTTCACATCCCAATTGTCACGTCATCCTCATTCCACCAAAGCAACCCAGACGCTCTGGAACATGAGCAATGACAACGGGCCAGAGCAGCAGTCCCCGAAGCCTGGTTTTGACTCATGACTCCTACTTGAGTAGGAAGAAATAAAGAGAAGTGGGCACAAGACCCAACCACTCAGTCACGCTTCTCCAGAGGGCAGCCCCCCTCTGGTTGGCACTGAGCACAAAGGGGTCAGGAGGGGATTGCAGGGCAGCGAGGTCTCCTAGACACCTACCTTGCAGAAGGGCTCCGTTTCTCTTGAAGAAGGTACTGCCCGGCCAGATGGGTGGACCTGATGGGCTGAAAGAGAAGACAAACACAGGTAAGACCCCTGCACGCCCGCCTAGGCACCCTCACGGGGCCTCGGACCATGGCCCCAGGGATGCTGTATTGACATCCTCTGAAAAGGTACCTTTAAAAATCATTAGGTGTGTTTGATTGTCGTGTGAGTATTCTGCTTACCATCTTGGCCCCCGTCACACCTGGGCACTGAAATCGCCTGCAGGTGAACAAACAGCACACACACAGCGCTAGGCAGCCCAGCTCAGAACTTCAAAATGTTTGCTAACTTGTTCCGAATGTCATGAATTTATGTGGCAAAGAACACCTGCCCATGTGTTCTGAAACCAAGTGGGTTTTCTTCTGGCACTTCCTGGTACCACCTGCCTATAGTAAATGCAAAGTTGCCCTTCTTGGCATTTCTACCACCAAATCCTCTCTGTGCAGATGCAACCTTTATCAACACCCTCCTTCCTCTAAGGCTCTGTTTTCCATTTCTTGGCTTAAAAGGTTGCACTCCATCCCCTATAAAACACTTTGCAGACATGTTACCACCCACAGTCTGGTCACCAGAGAGGCAAGAAAATAAGAAAGATCAATATTTCACAAAGACATTTACTGCATTTACAGATGAACATTTTCACTGTTTTAGAGCATCCAGTGGAAAACTTTACAACCAAGCCAGTCTTAGCAAAATATCCTTAGAGTGGAAAGTAGGTTATTCTAAAAAGGATTGGTTTAGATTAATGTTAGAAAGCACTTAGTTCAAAATGTTACTGCATCCGAGAGGCAATATAAATTACTTTCACTGAAATAGTACATGGCAAATGATATTGGTTAATGTATTATCAATCACATTCAGCGTTTAAAAAAACTAAAAAACTGGCCTGAGGAATACATTTGTAAGTCTGGCGGACACACGGACACACACACACACACACAAATCTGAAGGGCTATACAATGAATGCTTCGCTAGTCAACTGGGGTCTCTGACGATACAGGATGGCCGCGCCCTTAACAAGGAAGAGAAATGCAATGATATTCTGCCTATCAGAATTTCATTACATGAGATACAGAGAGTCTTGTCATATAGGAACTCAATAGATAACTGCAGAGAAGTAGGAAGTTACAGACTAAAAATATTATTAAACATCAAGACTGTGGTAAATGTGCTAGAAAGCATAAATGGGAATATCTTGTTTATTGTGCTTTAAAGATATTGCAGGGATTTGTGTTTTTGTTGTTGTTGTTTTACAATTAAAGATTTCTAGCAAACCTGGGTCAAGCCAGTGTATCAGAACCATTTTTCCAAAAGCTCAGATGATCATTAGCATTTCTTAGTGATAAGGTATTTTTAAAATTAAAGTATTTACGTGGTTTTCTTAGATATAATGCTATTGCACACTTAATATACTGCAGCATGGTGTAAATATAACTTTTATACGTACCAGGAAACCAAAAAATTCATGGGACTTACTTCAGTGCCACATTTGCTTGATTGCAGTGGTCTAGCATTGAACCTGCAATCTTTTCGGAGTACCTGGACTGTGAACCTTAATGCTAATGAATCTTTTTGTTTAATTTTCCTTTATTTCTACTATACTCAAAGTAAATGAGAACAATGCGTCTTGGCCATGGTTTTTCCTACACACCCAATTCTCAGCCTGGCAGGTGTAGCCTCCAAGTGACCAGGAATGTCACAGGAAACCTGCAGCCCTGGTTGGGGGTTCCACGGTTCAGAATGATGGCAGCAAGCTAAATTCTCTTCTGTCTCATTCCTGTCTTATTCCATTTGGGAGCCTTTAAGGCTCAAAGTCACATGAAGAATAACGTGCGTCAAAATGCTTAAGATGATCTTTTAACAACCCTAGCAAGCTCCCGGGGCTTTACCATCTTATTTTTTACAACAAAGCAGAAAACAGCAAGCTGGCTGTGGCCAATACTGAACTGCCTGATTTATAAAGATATTTAAAAACTGAGGACTTCATTATAGAAGAGTTGGTGCTTCTAGAGAATTCAATAATTGAGTATTACTGCAGGAGCCTGGATATCCAGCTTACCGCCATCCAAATCTCCTCTTTATCCTGACCTTGATTTGGCTGAAAACCCGAGCAGACACCAGGGATGGAGCAAGTGTGGGGAACTGAGGTTGGATAAATCCAGTGGTTTAGATAAGGAAAATACTCTGTGTGATAGAAATCTACCTACAGATTTTCTACAACAGCCTTTTAACATACTTAAGTCACTGATCACAATTCTATAGCCATTCTGCTCTGTTGTCCCTCTAATTTGTGCTCCAGGAGTGGAAAGATGTGGAGTCTCTGGCCCAAGCCCCCTGGTAAACGGTGAATTCCTGAGGGGCCTCCTTCCAGCCCAGGGTTAGCCAGTTCCTGCTGTACTGACTGCAAAGCTTTTGAGCTCTTCATATTCTGTATTCTTCTTTTGTATGGTCCCTCAAAATGATATCTTCTAACTGTTAGAAGATTTGAGGATTTATGAAGTCCCTATTGAGAACTGTGCTCTGTGTTACAAAAGACACTAGGAAGAAAAAATTAAAAATCCTATTTGATGATCCCTAGGAACTTACTATCATACTCATCTACCTCCAACCTCCTCTGGTTCCATTTAAAGAGACAAGAAATGTCCCTGGAAAGGCTGATGGCTCTGGTTGCCCAGCGGCAGGCAGGCACAGCAACAAACTTAAGATAGATATATATTTTTTCCTTCTCTTTCTTGGCGTATTACCTTCTGAGCTCAGAGTTCATTAAAAATACATATGATTGGGCACAGAGGTGCACACCAGTAATTCCACACTCGGGGGAGGCTGAGGCAGGAGAATTACAAGTTCAAGGCCAGCCTTGGTACCTCTGCAAGGCCCTCAACAACTCAGCAAGACCCAGTTAGTCTCAGAATGAAATGTAAAAAGGGGACTGGGGATGTGGCTCAGTGGCTGGGTGACTCTGGGTTCAATCCCTGGTGTGGAAAAAAAAGAAAGGACACACGCGCGCGCACACACAAAATCACTTTAAAATGTATATTAACACAGATCTTCTAGGGAAGAGACTGGTGGTCAAAAGTGTTTGGGGAGGGTCTATACCGCCCTTTCCAGGGGCAAGCCAAGAGGAGGGGAGGTTAGCGCCCACTGAGAAGATGGGGAGCTCCTCGCCCCACGGTGTGTGAGCACATGACACTTGTGAATGGTCACTGCCATGTGAAATAGCCACTAAGGTCCCCTCTAACCTGGGTGCGTCTTAGTCACCTTGTAAAGTCCTCACATTGCCTAACACTGAGATTAAAACAATCATTATTTACTGAGCACAATGAGCAACACTTCTCCACCAGCCCCTCTCCTTCTGTGAGGTGGCAGGGCAGAATCACCTTCCCCTTCTACAGATTGAGCAGAAGTCCTGAGAGGTAAAGGGACTTAGGGCAACAGGGGACTGGTCAGTGACCAGCCCATGACCAGACCAGGGCTCCTGGAGCTGGCCCAAGGGACCGCAGAGACACTTTGTCAATGCCCCAATTTCATTTCTCATCTTTCTGCTTTTCTCTTCCAGCACCAAGCTCCCAGGCATGCCTCCCCATGGAAGAAGGCTGTGGATGGCATTTTGTGAGCAATCTCTCCAAGGCAAAGTCCCAGGCTAGAGAAAGCAATCGGAGGAGCCACACGTGAAAGACTCACGGGCTCCTATTAGCAGAAACAATGGAAGGCGGCCCCACAAATGTCTCCTTTAAATAATGTGCCCACAGAATCCCACGACCTTCAACGGCACACGCCAAACCAACCCTGGGACAAGGAAGCAGACCAACAGGTTAGGAGGGCCCTGCCTGCCAGAAAGCCGGTCTGTGAGCTGGCATTTGAGAACACTGATCCAGCTGATCACGGAGACTAGCGGCGGGCCAGCAAATCCCGAGAGAGGAGCGATACCGTCCTGAACAGCACCGTCATCTGCCAGAGACCCACAGACCTAAGTCATCCCCAGGCCTCGCACTCTCAGCTGCACAAGGAACTCCCAAGGGGACACTGTGAGGCCACAGGCTGTAGGGCTGCCTGATCCGTCAAGTGTCTGTCCTACACTCATGGGCTTTAACACTGTGAACGCAGCCCCCTGGCAATTCTGGAAGACCCTACCTCTATCTGCCAGCCTGGACTGTCTGTGGGCCTAATGAGAAGCAAACTGAGAAAAGTCCTTTTTCCTAACAGCACAGTTGCCAAACATAAACTGCTACACCTAAAGGACAGGAGGCTAGAACCAGGATGGGGTGGGGGGAGGGTACCTGAAAGAAGGCAGAACAGAGGACACAAGCTGACGGACTTCCGGTGGATGAGAAGTCGGATTCACCGAGTAGAAAGGTGGCTGCCAGGGCTGGCCCAAGGGGAAGAAGGATAGGTGCAGAGTTGCAGATGAAACGAGTTCTAGAGATCAGGGGGCCCAGCAAAGCAAGTGCCCTTGGTGCCACTGAACAGCACGCTTAAAAATGGTTAAGATGGTAAATTTTATGTCGTATGTGTTTTATATAAATAAAAATGTAGGAAAGAGAGGGAAGGAGGGAAGAAGGAGAGGACGGACACAGGAACTATGGAAAACAGTGAACAGAGGCCTGAAGATACGGGGCAGGAAGGATGATCCAATCCATGCATTTCCCATCTGAACCTCCCCTGGACGCCCCCAGAACAGTCCCCATGCTTAAAAGTGGATACCCCAAACCAACTGGGGAAGAGGAAGAGGATGCCATAAAGACTAGCTCTTCCCAATTTAGTCCTCTCACTTTCCCACTGTCCTTCATGCAACGGAACACTGATTTCTACCACATCCCTAGCACTGGATGTGAGAAGCACGACATCCACCAGCACTCTGCTTACCCAGGAGTAAATGGTCCAGGCAGTCCTAAGACGGGGGCAGACTGAAGCAGGGAATGAGAGACTGAAAGAGAGAACACCTTGGCATTCATTGCTTTAACCTCCGTGGATTAATCACAAGAAAATATTAGAACATCAGGGCAGCCCAGACAGACACATG